TTCATCAGTATAATGTATAGCAGAACATTGTGTTTGTTGTACTTTTTCAACAGCATTATGAAAGATTTCCCATTTTTCTGTCTGTAAATAATCTCAACAGTGCATTAAATGTTAATGCATCATCAACATATTACAAACTCTATTAAGAATAACTAGAATATTAAAATGGTTCTAAAGGCTCCAGGTTTTTTACCTTCATGCATTCTATGCACAAAGGTAAAAAAAACTTCTGTGTGTAGCAGTCCCCCCTCTCTCGACACTTACCTGAGCCCCATCCCAATCCAGCGATGTCCACTTGAGCCTCGGCTCTCTGGGGACTCTCACTCCTGATTAGCTGAGGCAGCAGCAGGAGCCATTTGCTCCTGCTGCTCTCAATCACAGACAGTGAGCCAATCAGGAGAGGGAGGGGCCGAGCCATGGATCTCTGTGTGAATGGACATTCACACACAGATCCATGGCTTGGAAGCACGCCTTCTTGGGTGCCAGAAAAAAATGACTATTCTATGGGCTGCTTTAGTGCTGTTCTGGCTCATAAGCTTGTAAATATTGCAGACATGAGACTAAGTTGGCTAAGTTGTTTACAGTCCTTTAAGCAAAAGCAGGCAATAAGTGGAGTAGATGGAAACGTTGGTATGATCATGAGCACAATACCGTGTAAGACCTCCTATGTGGCTGTCAGAGCCATGATGACTGTTTGGATGAAAACTGTAAAGATGATTGCTGAAAAATGAAAGAATAAACTGATATCACACAGGGAGCTTCAGAAAGAGCTCATAGACTGCTTTTACTGCATGTGATCAGACAAGTGTGTGCACTGTGATGATGGGGGGCTCATGTATACTAGCTTCACAACATGGCAATGGACAGGCTTTTTTAAAACACTCTGAATGCCAATCAAAGCACCTGTCACTAAATAAAATGGTTTAATTACAGTCTTGTTTACCTGATGCGTTTGCTTTGTTTTGCTTCAAGAATTATACCCCATTTCGCTTTAGTGGTGCTTCAAAGCATCTTCAAAGCCTCCATAGATGTCTATGGCAAAGCTCGCTTACAGCACCTGCAGCTTTTGAGAAGCTTTTATTCAGCTTTAGATTCATTTTGTTTTTGAGGTATTGCAGGTATGGGATATCAACATACACATGGCATCTGCCAAGCTTTATTAAAGTTAAAAAAAAAAGCACCACCGAAGCATCCTTGAAGCATCATCAAAGCACCACCGAAGCATCCTTGAAGCATCATCGAAGCACCACCGAAGCATCATTGAAACACCACTGAAGCATCATTGAAGCACCACCAAAACATCATTAAAGCATCACAGAAGCATGAAAAATTAATCAAAAAAGCATGTTGAAGCATTAGGCTCTTTAATGGGTGCTGAAGTTGCAGCAAGTGTAAACGAGTCCTAAGAGTTGTAGACAATAATAATGATTTTGCCTCCTGCACTATGAAGTAAATGAATAAATAAATAAATAAAATAAATAACTATAAAGCTGATGACACCCAAAACTTATACCTATAAGGGAAATAGTGCTGAGAATATAAATATAATGGTGTAGCGCTACTACATAAAAATTAATATAAAACACATATAAAAATATGATATTAATAAAAAAACATATACTGTGACACATATACTGTATAGTAGTGATCTGATCCTCTCTGGGATCTTGAAGTGACAGGAAAAATGTGAAAAACATGTGGTCCTAATTGGACCCAATTTAGTGAACACACACACACAAAAGTAACAAACAGACAACCCAAATCCCTAATTGGGATCAGTGGCTAAAAATCAGCCTAAAAAAATCAAACCAAACAATTGCCGCATGAAAGTGAATCCCTGCAAAGGGGGATATAACTCCTATATAAAGTGACTCATGGTTAGTGGGAACTTAAAAAAAAAACTCCAAATATTAAAACAAATATATGAAAACCACCCAACAATCTTCCCCAATTGGTAACACATATAAATATACCAAAAATGACTAAAAATAATTGTATAGTGAAATATACTTATAAAAGTAAAAAACAGTATAAATTAAAATAAATAATTGTAAAAGTCCAAAAAAAGTGCACGTATGCCAAGTGTTCCATGCAGTGGATGTGCATTACAGCCACTAATGATAAAATCCAAAAATGGCTGAATTGCCTCATCACCTCCTTACCGTGACCCAATGGGCCAAAATGCTTGTGGGATCACAAATGGATTCCCCTCTATGGTATCCTTCCAAATAGTAAAGACCACATCAGTAGTGTGCATTTAGCATCTCAGGTCCCCTTCTGGTTCCCTTCAGATGTGCGTAAACATAATACAGCCAACTCACATATAGATCTTAATAATGACATAAAAGAGAGATCCTCCATAGTGTAATACCATTTAATGTAAACAGAAAGACATAGCACCGCCAATTGCCAACTCACTTGGTATCAACAGAAAACAAGCATTTAAACCACATGCTATGGGTGTAGTTTGCATAGGTTTTAGGAGTAGCAATACGGCGTCCACGCCGGTACGTGGTGACGCACTTCTGGCGTGGACACCATCTTGCTACTCCTAAAATTCCCCTAAAAAACCCTTAAATTACCTTACAGGTCTCAGGGAACCCCTGCTTATAATTATTATGTATATAGCTCACAGGTCATTAGTGCAAACAGCTGGTTAAGGAAATAAGTATATAAAAAATGAGTAAAGTATGCATCAAATTAAGGGCTTTTGACTTCCAGGGCTCCTGTGTAAGACAAAATTATTTTCAGTAATATTAAGGAAATTAAACGCATAATATTAGTTGCTGGAAATGAAATGCAGACTGTGAAAAATGTAGTGTTACCTCACATTAGTGGTCAGTTGAAAAATGCCCCTTGCACTGTGGTCATTGAAGTCTCTATACATAATGATGGTCAGTGTAGTGTCCATTGGCAAGTCAGTGAAGTGCTTTGTTACCTTTGTGGTTAGTGGTGAAGAGGCCCCCTTTTATTGGTGATTGGCGGAGAAGGGTCCTATTACACTGGTGGTCAGTGGGAAGAATATCTCTTACATTGGTGGCCAGTGGGAAGAATAGTTTTGTTACAGATAGCTGAAAAAAAATTGGTGCCAGTGGTAACTTATGTGAGAGGCAGTATTTTCTCATTGCTCAAGGAACCACTAGCAACTTCTGCAAGAACCATAGAGTTCCATAGACTCCTAGGAGGGCATTGAAAGGCCAGATAGTGATGGGAAGTCTCTACAGGGGAGACAGAGACAGCAACAAAAAAATGTTCTCTATAAGATTTTTAAAGTTGTCTCTGCCTCCCTGCACTAGTGACCCATTCTGCCTTCAGGGTAGGTTCAAATTTGTCTGCAGCAGGCTGGTTGTGGGTGCAGGAATCGCACCTGTTCCCGCACCAGCAACCACCTGCAGCCAAATCCTGCTTTTACAAGATGCGCATGGCTGCCATTCATTCTGAATAACACCCTCACACATCTCAGCCCATAGCTTGTTTATGGGTGTGAGAACTGCATGGTCAAAAAGACGATGCAATTTCCCTGCAGCTGTGTTTTATAAAGGTGCAAGTGCCTTTTTTTCTACGGAATATGCGGGCACAGCAGCCCATTCAAATAAATGGATAGCGGTGCCCAAGCAAACTTGGGCCACACAGCCTGCAGTATTATGAGCCTAGGGTAAAGGCTTAGTTCACCTTTTGGACCCTGTTTCATGCTGCAACCAAATTCAGGGTGTAGCAAAAAGCATGGTTGGAAACCTAAACCCCCAACATCAAAATGTCCCCCCTTTCCTGAATTGTGGGTGCTTTTCCCTGCAGACATCTTTTTTGAATTTGAGTGTGGCTGGGAGTGACATTGCCCACACAGTTTTGTCATCCATTCACCAAGATCTATGAATGAATATACTACTACTACTAAGTCCCATCTGACATAATGACAAAGGGGCTCAGCAGGACAGCCGGCAGTAAGGTGGGCATGTCACCATATTTGTGTTCATTCATTACTTCTACCAGTATAGACTGGAGGTAAGCAATACATGAGACTGTTCCCTTTGGTCATAGTTGGTGCATTGATTACATTTTTCTGAAAGATGGACTATGCCTTTAACTTCTTGTGCTGGTATCATGGGTATAGTGTATGGGAACTATTTTCCCTAACAAAGTCACCAACAAAAAAAAATTGGGGGCTTTTCCTTTTAGTTTTCAGAAATATGTGTAATCTATTAATATATATAATATATGTAAAAAGTGTATGTATATAAACTGTTTTGATGATTCACAATTCCTTTTATGCATCAACATCTACAGTATCTCCCCAGTGAGCCAGAGCACAGAACTATACATTGAATTTTATTGAGCTGTTTCTGGTATGCTTTATTTACAGTAACTTTAATGTTAAGGCTAATTCCAGTTAAATCAAAATAAATGGTTTTGCTAATAATAAAATGTTTAAATTGAATGATACAAAACTATTTTTTTACCATTAGCTATGAATCTGTGTCCACTTTAGCCAACTGATAATGTGTTAGTAAAAATCCATTTATTTTTTCACAACCATGCCACATTCAAAGTCCCTTAAATCCCTTTTCACCCCCTTTCTGATGCTCAGTGTGAATTTCAGCAAGTGGTCTCCACCACATCTATATGTCTGAATGCATTGCATCAATGTCATGTGATTGGCTGATTGAGATATATATATATATATATAATATATATATATATATATACACAATCAAAGCATGGAAATCAAATAATATTGTATGCACTGTCTAGTTGAATCTACAATCTTCTGTTCCTACTACAGGCAGAGACACTTCTGGTGTTCTTTTTTAAACGTTTAGATGATATGATGATACAGTATATACCATTTTCAAATCTATATTGTATTTCAGGGGAATATGGTGAAATTTGCAAGGGTTGCTTGAAACTACCAAGCAAAAGAGAACTTCCAGTTGCAATACAGACTCTCAGAGCTGGCTGCTCAGAAAAGCAGAAGCGTTCATTTTCTGGCAGAGGCTAGCATAATGGGACAATTTGACCATCCCAACATCATACGCCTAGAAGGAGTCATCACTAGAGGTAAGAAAACAAATTCTACAGTTTTAATCAACTCATCTAGGTAGGTAAAATGAACCATGCATCTAATCCATGCTTCATATTTCTGTACATATAATATATATAGTGTGCCTTTTCCACTACTAACAATCATTGGTTATAGATTTGTTTATGTTTTATGTATTGCCTATACCAGTTTACCGGATTAGTGGTAGCAGCTTGCATGCAACAATGTTGAGACACTGTCAGTGGATTGCACTGCTAAATTTTTACCCTGTAATGAGTACTGCAAATATTATACATACTTGTGTGTCCAATACCTTTTTCATTTTATGGTTCTTTTAATGTTTTAATGGTTAATTTTTTAAACTGATTTTATTTAATATTTTAGGAATTCAGGTAATTAGCAGTACAAAAAAGCATACACGTTCGTACAAAGATAAATAGATAGGTAAAAAGGCCAGATAAAGCATCTCAAGCATAAAACAAGTAATTGTCATACAAGCATGAGCTATATCATGGAATAAAAATTGTAAATCTATAAACCGTTTACCATTATGTCCCCTGACATAGGAGAGGATTTGGAAACATGGTGAGCGTGTTGGTTCATATTTATTGCAAAGTGAGCTGACACTTCCAGAAGTACTGGATCCTGTGATCTGTAACCCCCTCCCCCCGATATGTCATGGCCGCAAAGAAATGAACTCGGGCTGGCAGAAGCCACTTGGACATAGTGAGCTGCAATAAAAGTACTGTCATCATATGGCACTGATAGCTCCAGAATGACTATCCAGAGTTGTCAGGGTCACACTAGAGCGGAACTTTTCTTACAGTTAACTGTCTGCAAGTAGGCCCATTTAAACCAGTAATGTTGAGCGTATCTAGCAAATATTTACTGATTCCAAATCAAACATTTTTGCCATATTACTGAAACATCAATATACCACTATTTCACTTTGTTTAAATCCAAGTAGCATGTATATCTTACATATATGTTGAAATATATTAATGACACAGCTTTTACTACTTTACAGGTAATACAATGATGACTGTAATGGAATATATGGGTAATGGTGTTCTGGATTCCTTTTTAAGGGTATGTAATCCTCAAGTTGAAATATCTGTGCTTTAGTTATGCACGTTAAAGCATCAGTGCACCCAAACTGATATCTCATTTTGGAATAGGTATCAGCAGTAAGGTTAAGTTTAGACATGCCGCACCCCTGAAAAGTGAAAACCTTTGGGTATGAGGCATTTGCTGGGCAGTGAGGCAGCAGTATGACACCTCCTTACCCTCTGTTTTAAGCCCATAACTTCTGCACCAACAATTTTCTTTAATGAGTTGTGTTATGATGTAACAGGAGCAGTAATTTTTGATGCACCCACTAATCAAAGCATCTCCACAGTGGCATGTTAGCACCCCCATCTGCTTTGCAACCTAAGGGAATGGTTGGGCGGGGCAATAAAAATGCAGCTCAACCACGCATTTCTAATGCACTCCACTCTCAACTTCAAGTCTTAATAAGCTTTGAAAATCACCTATTGGCAGCTTATATTTCATATTTCACTCAGGTTACATTTCTATGTTTCCTGTTAGAGGTCTCCAAATGCCTGATACTTCATATTGAAAGGACATTTATTCTGTTCCTACTAATACATATTTCCAAAACACGTAATAACATCTATTAAAAAAGAAAATCATTTTAATGATGATAGCAACATACGTTTTTTGTTGTTAGTTATTTTATGATGGAAAAGGAGTTTAGTAGTTATTGTGTTACTTAATGCAATCTTTTCTATCTATATCAGCCTACAGTTTAAATCAATCAAGAACTATGTATGATTAGACTTAACATTTAATGCTAAAGTTTATTAATATTGTACCATTCAAGGCCTCAATTCATCGTATTTGTATTGATTCACAATTTACGTACTTACTTATACAATTTTGTGTAGGCCTATTACCTGCTGCAAGAGTACATAAATATGTCAAGATGCAAACTGACCACACTTGGACGGATAGTCTTCCATGCCTGGCATGGTCAGAATAGAAAAAAAAAAGCAGGAGCACTGGCAGGATCACTAGGTATTTCACAGTCAAGTATACAATGCAAAGAGAGCAGGATACTTTTTAATACAATAATATAATAATACAGACACATATCTGCAATATTACACTTTGGGATGGCATACACCTTAATTTCAGATATTTTAATGGTGTGTTAAATTTTTTTTTTTATAAACTGTCAAAGCATTACATCAGGTCGTTTTCGATGTCTGTGATCTCGCTGAGGAGATTCACTGTCTTTATTTATCCAGTTGACCAGTGTCACCGGGAAAAGAAGTGCTGTGAAAACCAAAACTTTGCCATTGTCACCAGGACAGGGATAAAGGGGAAATCTTTGAATGGGAAAACACGTTAAAGTGAAAACTGTCAACAAGTAGATTACTCTGGAGAGGTTTCCTCTCATTTTTTGTTGTGTCCCCTAGACAAGAATGGAAGGGAAATCTTCCCAATAACATTTTTGTCACCACCCTACCTGGAGAACATGGTTAAAAGATAGCTCAATGTGACCAGTTAAGGTTAATTTATTAAAAGTGCTCAATTGAAGGAGAACTCAAAAATTGTGTGAAAATGTACTCCAATTATCTAATCATGTGAAATCCAAATCATGTTCACTTTGAATATGTAATCCTGGGCAGATGTTTCCCATCATTGAATATTATTATTATTATACAGGATTTATATAGCACCAACAGTTTGTGCACTGCTTTACAAAATGAAGGTAGACATAACAGTTACAATACAATTTGGTACAAGAGGAAACAGAGGGCCCTGCTCATTAGAGCGTACAATCTAGGAGAATATAATTATGAAGTCAATATTCACACATTTTGTGAGCGAAGATTCTCAGCTCCTTTAGTAAATCAGCCCAACTGTGTCTTCTCATGTCATTTTGACAAAGTGTTCTTTTACACATCAATTACCTACATGTTTGCTTTGGACAAAAGAGTGGGATGTGGAAAAAACTATTTTCTATCAAGCTTGTTTTATTTTATAACTTTAAAAATATACTGATAAAGGGATGGGAAAGAAAAAGAGAGCATTTTAGTTTGTTGTTTGTTTTTCTGCTTTTATGTTTCATCGCATAAATATAATTCTTTGGAGATGTGCATTGCTAACAATGTGTAGGCTGACATCCTTTATCCTACCCTGGCTATTATCTTAGTAGAATACATCAAGGACAGTTGTCCACTTGAAACCCCGAGGCTTTTAAGCTGAATATTTGTGTGTCGCATCAGTTTGTTGTATTATTCGATTTAAAGCTAGAAAATTAAAATTCCCTCCCCTTCAGCACTTACACAGCACATGAAAACCACAGACCACAATAGTAAGTTTGTGCTCGGGAAAACATAAAAGGTGTAGAGGAAATAAAAGGTTGGAGGGTGTAAAACAAAAGCTGAACAGCAGACAATTTTGTCTGAGCTGATTATGACAGAGCACATAGAGCATTTACAAGACAACATGTATAGCATATAAGCTTCAGGCTGCATGATTGTGTTAAAAAGAACATTTGTTTGAGCCTAAATGCATCCCGCCATGTACTGCTTCTGCAGGTTTTATGAATATGTTTTGCTGACTGGGAGCTTGTCTGTTATGTGGAATTTTATTACACCCTATGAAGTTTCCAGCTATCTTCAGCTATGCTTGTGTTCTCATGCGGATTTATGTAGCAGTGCAAAAGTACAATGATGATGCACATAGCCTAGTAACTCAAATCAATAAATCAATCAAGTATAATGTTTAGTGCACAATATAAAGTCAGTCATTTAAAGGATCCTATTTATAAATAACTGGAATATTTTAATTGTCCAAGAGATTAGACTAGGAGCTGGAGTGGTGAATATGGGCAACACTTTCAATTTTAATCCTGTTTACTCATCTCCAGTTTTATATAAGAAACACAATGTTTTTCAGCAAATATATTGCATTTGCAAAGTACGATTTGCAAAAAAAAAACAAGTTTAAGTGCTCCTGAATTAACATTTTTTCAAATAGAACTGAGAATTTCACTGGCTTTTAAGATATATTGTATATATTATTCATTATGTGATTGTAGCCATGTGTTTCTTTTTTAGGATTATGACACTCATAGATAGCTGTTATTCAACTGATCATAAATAGAACTGAAAAAAATAAGGATGCTGCTAAAAGCATGATAATTACACCACTATCCCTTTAGAGCAACTATTTTTAACCACTTTGTATTACTGTTAGATGCTATTTCTTGTGCATTAAATGTTTATAAAATGCCTTAAATACAGGTTCATTTAAACAAAACCAAGTGAATTTTTTTAGGTGTGTGTATGTATATATGTTTTTTTTAATGTATAGACTTGAGCAAAAAAAAAGCATATTTTGCTTAAAGTGCATCTGTGTCCAGAGTAACATCTTCTTAACAAGCAGTAAAAAACTCTTTAAAACAAATCTTCACTGACTCTCTAACCATGCGCACTATAAAGTAGTTCATTTTTGAGGCTCCTCAATGATCAGTTCTGAAACTGATTGTCATTTGGTTTCTGACAGCTTAGAAATTACTGAGCTACATACAGGACTAACAAGATTATGCTTTCCAAACTTTGAAAACCAATTTCTCTGTAATGTTTATAGATACAGAGGTGAATGAGAGCTCGTTTTAAAATGATTATGGCTATCTCAAAAGCAATTAATAATCATGTAAGTACTTAATGTGTATAGACAAAGCACAGGTTCACTCTAAGAGACTGTATCACTTTGCTCATTCAGGTAATTCTTTTTAAAGCTCAGTTGTCGACTCATTTATACTTACCACACTCAGGGCTTTTTTTTCTCCGAGAATAGGTTCAGAAACTCAGTCATGCCCCCCAACTGCCCTCCCCCACACTGCAGGCAGCTCCACCTTTCTCACTTGCTGGGAGATCATCCAACACAGGCATCGGCATCCAGGCACCAAGGAAAAAAATATAGATTACAGAGGGTGCAGCCCAAAAATGCACTCTCTCCCACCCATGACTGCACCGCACCCTAGGCACCTGCATTTTTTTTGTCCCTGTCCTGCACTCGTGGGATATGCTCAGAAGATCTGATATGTTGGAGCCACTGGGAGACAGGCTATCAGTTGTAAACACAGAAGCTAGACTACTATCACTATTAGTGATAGTGGTGAGCAGGGAGTAGAAGCCTGAGCCAGAGGTGACAGAACTGAGTTGCACCAAGTTTCCATTGCTCAGTTCTTGGATTAAAGCATGATCCCTGTGTAAGCTTCATTTCAGATGGTGTTGGATCTTACAGAGGATTTATAATACCACCCTCACATTCACGTGACTCGTGATTAGGCCTGGAAACTGACCTCTCAGGCTTGAGATCTTCGTCATGTTAAAAGATCACATTCTGCCTAATAACTGGAAGCAGGGTGGATCCAGGGTCTCCAGTAGAACAGTGAGTGAAAATTGAAGATATTCTGTCACTTTGCTAATTCATTTTCACCAGGCGATATACAAAATTCAGTAAAAAAATACTTAAAGTTAAAAGCTTATTCCCGAACACATGTTTTGTTTTTGGATGGAGTTTGGGGAAGAAAATATTACATTCCATGCCTGTAACTGGAAATGATCCTGCCTCATACAACATTCTGCTTCTGTGAGCTATAGACCACAAAGGAGCTATTAGTCAAAATACACCTATAGTGTAGGTTCACCTTCAGCAAGATTGTCCAAAAAATTTCCCTATGCAATTCCATATTCTGTAAATAGTCATACCAGCGTTCTTTCTATTTTAAATGGTGCATTTTATCCCATTACAGATGCAGCTGTTGGGAGGCCTCTCCACAAAAACAGTTGGCCCCTTATCCCCCTTGAACCTGCTTATGCAGGACAGGCAGAACAACTCAAATAATGTGTCTGCTAGCAGATGATCCAAGTTGCCCATTCTGAGTGCCTGTGCAGTGCACTCTTCTTACTCCAGATAAGCTTCTTGTACCATTGAAATGCTTTTATGCACTGTTTTTGAATAAATAAAATGTTGCTCTGAAGAAAAAGGAAGTGCAGCCATCCAGATTTTTCATTTGTGCATGTACAACAGCTTGCTGGGCTAGCACCCCTCCTGTGTTTGGAAAGTGGATGTTAATTGCCAGCTTACCTGGAGCAGGGGTAGAAGTTGATCCAATTGAGCTCAGTAGTGGCTGCTCCAAGCTGTTCAAACTGAGAAGCGTAATCACTGGGTCCCGGCCGGTGATTACTCGCCGGTGCCTGGTGATTGCCGAGGATCTCCGACGGGGAGGAGAACTGTTTGTAAACAAAATAGTTCTCCTCCCTGTCAGCTCGTGCACACTGCTTTGGATGGCTGTGCACAGCCAGCCATGCAAAGTAGTGTGCTTACAGTAAAGCACACGGACACAGCTTATAGTGAAACAGCACACAGCACACAGTTATCCCTTTGCTCGCCCCTTATGTTAACCCCTTCCTCCTCAGTGCCATTATTACAGTGTCAGTGCTTTTTTTTTTAGCACTGATCACTGTATTGGTGTCAGAATGCCTAATACAGTCCTGCAGTCCCACTATAAGTCGCTGGTCGCAACCATTACTAGTAAAAATAAAAAAATTAAAATTAAAATCCCAGTATATATACTACCATTTGTAAACAATATAATTTTCACGTAAACCAATTAATTTACACGTATTGGGATTTTTTTAGCAGAATACATTTTGTCCTAAATGTATGATGAAATTTGATTTTTTAAATTTTTTTTAATAGACATGTTTAATAGCAAAAAGTCAAAAATATTGTTTTTTTCTCAAAATTGTTGGACTTCTTTTTTTATAGCGCAAAAAAAAAAAAAAATCGCACATTCAATTAAATACCACCCAAAAAGCTCAATTTATGAGAAAAAAGGACATACATTTCATTTGGGTGCAGCGTTGCATGAACATGCAATTGTCAGTTAAAGTAATGCAGCGGTGTAAAGGCAAAAAATGGCCTAGTCAGGAAGAAGGGATAAATCCTCAGGAGGGCAAGTGGTTAAAAAAAAATCAACCAAGCTGGGTGGGAAATTCTAGCTCAAGCAGTAACTACATCCTATCAGATGCAGCCACTGTTTGGGTTATAAGGCAGCCATAAGTTCTGTGCTGCTGAAAACAACACTCATCCATACTAAAGAGGAATCTGTTGATTTTCTCTTGCTCAGCAGGTGAACTGAAAGAGAGAAATCTATGCGTGTATAGCTAGCTTAGGATATAACACTGAATCCTTTCCCATCCACGTAATTTGATTAGAGGAAGTTATTGATGGGTGCAGTAAAGGAGTTTGCAACTTTTTTTTTTCTAAATGGTGCTGTAACTAACACAATATCTACATTTACTGAAGTCTTGTCTGGAATTCTACTTTAACATTAATAGCATTTCATTTGAATTGAAAGGACTTTAACTATATTTCCTAAATGGATCATAAAAATTCCAGATATCTTTGGTAATGCTCATATTACTGTTTATGACATGATGTGAAGTTTCAACTTTTATCTAAAGTATCCTTTTTCCCTTAGAAACATGAGGGGAAATTTACAATTGCTCAGCTGGTGGGTATGTTGACTGGCATAGCTTCTGGAATGAAGTACCTGACAGAGATGAGCTACATTCACAAGTGCCTTGCTGCACACAAAGTCCTTGTCAACTCTAACCTGGTCTGCAAAATATCTGGATTTCGACATATTCAAGATGATAAACTTGACACAGTGTATTCCACCATGGTTCGAAATTCAAATGTAAGAATTTTTTTTTTTTATAGCTGGTCAGTATTTTAACTTGAGCTAAAACTGAGGTTATACTTGTCTTTTCTAATCTGCTATTGTCCTCTGAAGTTTATCTCTGTGCACATGAATTATAAAGATTGTTTATGCTATTGTCTAATTGTTTGATATTTATATACATTTCATAAATTCAGTGCAATCAAAGGGGAACAATGAGAGAAATGCAAATTGCAGCAATGCAAAACAATCAGTTTACTATATAATTTGTTCAGCAAATTGTCTTGAGATAGTAATAAATATTAAAATGGAGGAGCTCATGTCTATAATAGGGATGATATTGAAACAGCCCCAAAAGATCCACAATGGCTCAAAATTGATAATGTAAAATCTAAAATGTTGTGTTTTGGATATGTTTATTTATAAATGACTTATGAGTGAGTTTAGAATTGGGAATTGATCATTATTTTCTACATTGCAGGGTGGAAAGAGCACAGTTTTATGGACAGCACCAGAAGCAATTCAATATCATCGTTACAGTACTGCCAGTGATGTATGGAGCTTTGGTATAATAATGTGGGAGGTCATGTCTTACGGTGAAAGACCTTACTGGGACATGTCTAATCAAGATGTGAGTTGTCATAATTAATATTATATTATTACAATTATAAAATATATTATAAATATGTATACATACACACATTTGTATTATAAATATTTATTCACACATAAACTATATACTGTATGTTTTGCTGGTCATTAGAAGACTCTTTTGTTCTCCAAATTACCCAGATTCAACTCAGGCTCTGGATGTGTACAGCGAGGTCTGGCTACATGCACCTTGACATAACTGAAGATGTTTTTACACCTTTTGGCCACCCTGTACATATCATCACCTATTTACAATTATAAAGAGAATTGCACAAATATTGCATACATGCAGGATAGAGCAGATGTGTAAAATTGACGTCTATGGGCTGCATGTAGCTGCTTCATTGTGGCCCTTAGTGACTTAAGGATAAAAAAAAATAATGCATCTCCAGCTGTTCTCGAATTGATAATTTATACTGTACTTCCCAACATAATGTTCCAGCTAAATACTTCAGGAAATGTCTTCTGGTCCCTTTATCTGGAATTAGATATTGTACATTGCAGTTTTTACTTTATTGTTAAGGTCCAAATTGCCATAATCTTTTTTCTGGAATGAAGTAGGTGTAACCAATAGTAGACACAATATGCCCCACTTGAAGATTTAATCTACTCCAATCAATTCAATGTTTCATCTAAGCTTGACATGTCTGCTGTAGAGAGAGAATGAGAGAGAGAAATTTGATGTGTATTCTATGTTTTATTACCAAGGTCATCAAAGCCATAGAAGATGGATTCCGACTTCCAGCACCAGTGAACTGTCCACCTGCTCTCCATCAGCTGATGTTAGATTGCTGGCAGAAGGACAGAAATGACAGACCAAAATTCACTCATATTCACAACATTTTATCCAAACATGGGCAGAGTCCTGAGAAATGTCAGTCGGCCACATCCACAACAACAAGGTAGGCATTTTCTTCCAGCTCTTTGTAAATTGTACTGTTTGTAGAAATCTGGCAGACACGAATGTCTGCTGATCACTATGGTTTACAACCTAAAGAATCTTGTATTAACATTAGTACAAAAGTTGGGCTTGTGATTGAAATCATAGAATGGCATGTACAAGTGTCATGTTTTTATGATTGTCATGTTTTCATGACATTCCTTATATCTTTATTATACATTACACCTCATATACAACAACAACAACTACTCTATACAATAATGCAAATATATTCCCTTCAGTAACACCATACACATGGTACTGTACTACAATGCATCCCCCTCAGTGGTATCCTTAACCATTTGCCGACTGCACTATAGCTAAATGACGGTGAAGTGCGGTCATCCAATTCTGGGAGGGCATTTATTGATGTCCTCCCAGAACCGCGCTCCCCACGTGCCCACTGTGGTGTACACCTGGAGCTCTCTGTGATTGCTGTGTCCTTTGGCCTGCAGAAAGTACTGCTGATAACTGGCAAGTGTGAAAGGAGACATCTACACTAAAAATCAGATTAACAGTGCCCATCAGTGCTGCCTACTAATGCCAAAAAGTGTCCACTAGTGCTGTCAATCTGTGTCCACCAGTGCTGCCAATCAGTGTCCATCAGTGCTGCCAATCGGTGTCCATCAGTGCTGCCAGTTAGTACCCATCAGTGCTGCCAATCAGTACCCATCAGTGCTGCCAACCAGTGCCCATCAGGGCTGCCAGTTAGTGCTGCCTATGAGCGTCCTTTAGTGCTGCCTATAAATGGCCTTCATTGCTGACTTTTAGTGCCCTTCAGTGCTGCCTATTAGTGCACATCAGTGCCACCTATCAGTACAGCCTCATCAGTGCCTCCTCATCAGTGCAGCCCAACAGTGCCCATCAGTCCCGCCTATCAGTGCCCATTAGTGCCGCATATCAGTGCTGCCTATCAGTGCAACATATCAGTGCTGCCTATCAGTGCCACCTCATCAATGCCCATCAGTGCAGCCTATCAGTGTCCATCAATGCAGGCTCATCAGTGTACATCAGTGAAGGAGAAAAATTACCTTTTTGCAAAATATTATAATAGAAACTAAGAAAAACAGATTTTTTTTAATGTTTGGTCTTTTTTTTTGTTCATTTAGCAGAAAATAAAACACCCAGTGATGATTAAATACCACCAAAAAAGCTCAATTTGTGTGGAAAAAAATTATAAAAATGTCATTTGCATACAATGTTGCATGACCGGGCAATTGCCATTCAATGTGCAACAGCGCTGAAAGCTGAAAATTGGCCTGGGCAGGAAGGGGGTGAAGTGCCTGGTAGGCAAGTGGTAAGGTAAAGTGCATGTATCAGTAATTTGCATAAATCATTAATACACAATATTTCAACTATAACAATCACTATGCAACATAGTGCTTGTTATAAATTCTGAACAAAAGTAAGCAACACAAGTCTCTCTGTGAGGTACAGTAGGTACATCAGAATTCACTTTTGAGACCAAGTGACATCACCACTGTGTCTCTGTGTTTCTTAATGCAATGCATGGCTTGTAAGAGGGGCCCACAGAGTGCTATCCCTAGTTAGAAAAAAACATCACAGTAGCCTGCCTCAGTTATCCTTTCAAAAGTAATGTAACGTGTGATGATGAGCCTTCATGACTAAAAGAACGGAAATTCTGGATCAAAAGGGCCAGGTTAGTAGCTGTGGGTTTGAGAAAGAAAGAGCTTGATAATGTTGGATGTCCTCCATTTCATAAATGAAAAGGTCTCTATCTGCTTCCTGCATCTTCTAAACACACACTGTGGGAAGCTCAAAGTATGCAGTAAAAGCAGAGTAAGCAATTTCAGTACAAGCGGGGAGCCTGTACAACAGCTTTTCAGAGTTCAGATTTAACAGTGAATTATTTGTAAACTAAGTATCTCTGGCTATTACATGCATGTGTATGCTACTACAACTCTTCCGCACATGGACTACAACTATCCAACATATATATGGATGAGTTTTTCTTCTGTACTGATAAATTAAACATTTCTTGTCCTTTTGAACTGTAAAATATGATCCTGCTATAGGTTAAAGGGAAACAGGCTATTATTTTGCGGTAGACACTGAATGTTCTAAAAATGTATTGCCTTTGGTCTATGAAAAATGATCTTTACCATAATGTTAAAGAGGATACCAAAAAAAATACACTACTTCATAGTGTAGCACTAACTTTAAGGAAATATTAAATCATATAGATTATAAGACTAACACATAATCTTTCCTGTAATTTGTGATAGAAAATTTTTTCCTGTAAAACCTTAGAATGTTTTAATGTCATAGACCTGAATGCAGTAAATTTTACATATCTCTTTAATCTTTTATTTTACAATGTATTACCATTGAACACAAGTAAAGTGAAAAAGTTATTCCCCTTTATTGGCTGATCACAGCCAACCTATTTCATCCTCAACCAAATATCTTCTTGTACCTATTTGATAATATTGAACTGTACTGCTCCAATGCTGCTGTGAACATCTTCCATCAGCTTCTACTGCTCCAGGTCTCAGTTCTCTCCAACAGCTCGTTCCATTCGATGCATGCATAAATTAAACAAACTGGGATCATACACTGGAAATGTTAACCATAAGAACATGAATATGTATCCCGGCTTCAGCTTAGTCCCCTTCCCATTGGCCGCCCTGCCCCTCTGATGGGTTTCACCTGGACAGGGCTTAAAGTGGTTGTAACCCTCAGACATGAAATATGAACAAAGCATACCCCTCTGTAGCGTGTACTTGTCTCAGTTAAGAGCACTAAGTGTCATTTCTGTCTGCTGCTTCTTTCATTTGCTATCAGCATGAATCACTTCTGACAAGTTTCCTGACATCAAGAGAAAAAAGGTGACACGGGAGGGAGCTCCAGCACATAGCCTGTGATTGACAGATTCAGCTCTGTTACTGTGTGCTGTGTGAAAGGGGAGTTATGTCCCTTCCCTCCAATCAGCACTCAGATTTCTCCTCACTCAGCTCTGCAGTATGTAATTTCAGCTCCCTGCCACCTGTTTTCTGGAAGCTCAGACAGGCTTTGTAAATTCTGAACTTTGAAAAGATGTAGAGAAGAGAAAACTTCAGATAAACAGGTACAACGTATGTTGGATGATTTTTTTTTTTTTCATCTCTGTGTATCACCTAAGAGCAATCACTTTACTGGCTGTATGTAAGGGTTTACAGCCACTTTATTCAAAGATTTCCTATGTGGGTGATATGCGATTAAGCCCTATCTAGGTGAGGTATGTTAGAGGGGCAAGGTCAATGAGCGGGGACTGAGCTAAAGCTGAGATTTTATTCATTTTCTTGTAGTTAACATTACCAGTGTGCAATCCCAGTTTGATTTATATTTGTAACTTTTGTCACATTATAGATAAAGTGCATCACTAAAAAATCTTTCAAAGTAGTGACAGTCCACTTTGATCAAATAAATGTCCACATCAATAAATGTTCATGATAAGGGGTGTGTTTCAAACAATCAAAGAAGAAGAGAAAGACCCACTTTTCCAACAGGACTGAAGAGAGAGTGACACTCTAGGTTACTTGTGGTGACCACAGATGAGTGAACCCTTACTGGAACCATTGGGCTTTCAAATTTAATGAAATGCTAAAAGTGCATAAAGGGATTGCCCCTGACAACGGCAATCCTATGACGAAACACGTTGGCTGGAGCCTGACATCACCACGCTGAGCGACCAACTTGTTATGCATTGGGAATGCTGCAGCTCTGTAATGTTTTGATATCTACCCATTGTAAGTGTAATACGTTTTTAATAAATTTATTTTTTTTGGAACATACTGCATGTTTGGCTTTTATGTATTTTTACATACCACTACTGATGGAGAGAGAAGGTACAGTGGAGCCATAAGATTGGAGTACTGCCATACAGCATGAATATGTTATGGGATTGATCCCTTTATGTGCTTTTGACTTTTCAGTAAATTGAAAACCCAATGGTTCCGGTAAGGTTTCACTCACCTGTGGTCACCAGAAGTAACCTACAGTGTTATTCTCTCTTCAGTCCTGTTGGAAAAGTGGGTCTTTTTCTTCTTCTTTGATTGTGTGAAACATACCCATTATCATGGACATTTCTTGATGTGGACATTTATTTGATCACAGTGGACTGTCACTACTTTGAATTATTTTTTAGTGCTGTACGTTATCTATTATGTTTACTGTGGTTTAGTATTTTACACCTATGCTAGCTGTTTAGGTTTATATTTTTTATCCAAGCGCAGAATCACATTGGGTTTAACTTTTGCCACATTGAATGAAAGTTTGTATTGTGTTTAGCCTCTGTGACTGCTGTGGCAGTCATGGAGGGTGAGGCTATAAACAATACTGTTTTTCTCCGAGAAACAGTTGCTTTACCCAGATAATATGTGCCACCGATAGTGACTTTGATTGATGAATTGCATCCAATGCCACTGTTAAAATATTTCCAAATGGTTTCATTTGCTTCAGTGCCTAGTTATTTCTTTTAAACATCTAAATGGGTATCATTATATACACATTTTAGTGTTATATTTGTTTGGGATATTTGCCAATAATGATCTGTACTTAACATAGTCCAATGTATTATTTCCATAGAAATTTCTTGGAATAGCGAAAAAGATGTGGCAGAACTGATTGCTTTACAGAAGCTATAAAGACCTCACGCATGCAACATGTCCACTAACACTGGCCATCTTTCCTGCAAATAAGCTGTCCAGCCGAGCAATGTAAAGTCAGTCTTGTGAAACAGACCTTGTAGAGCAAAGCTTTATAGCATAATCTGTTTTCACATTGCTCTCTTTGTACAGCTGAGGATCCTGCTGGCTTTTTATGTTGTTGGTATTACATGAGACTAAATCTCACCTGTTACTGAAACATTTATTGGTGTAATATCTGTGTGGTCTAATACGGGGGCTGGAGCTTTCTGCCTGTCTTGCTCTCTCTTGCTTGATATTTTATTCATCATCAACCTGCA